GTGGTGTTAGCATGCTTGAGCTTAGCGTCTATTTAGGATTTGGAATTCGACCAAGAGGATAACTCACTCACTTATGAGACCATTCCTGGTATGGGTCCAGGAGCGAAGCCGCCTCCGTCAGTGTGTAGCTTGACGAGTAGCAAATTGGAGAATGGTCTGATAAGGTATTCTTTTTCAAATGGATCCAAATTGAAGAAAATTCCAAAAACGTAGTAATTACGGTAGTAAATTACTGTTGAGATACGGTGGGTACACGATGCATTGCTAACCATTTATAATTAGCATAATCGTCTGTTGCGGCAGTGACATACTGTAGGTTTACGGTAGGGTATGTAAGGTAGTGCATCTTGGTTCAGGCTCGGAAAAACGAGTTAAATAGAGTATAAATAGGGATTTAACATGATGTCGGGGACACTGTTTATGTTTTCTTTTCTTTTCTTTATGTTTTTTGTTGTTCAGTCATCAATATTATCGTGGTGGTGACAATTATTCATTCGTTGCGAGAGTGACGTACTGTAGGGATACGGTAGCTGTACGGTATCAATTCAGAGACTCGGCAAGCAGCGCGGATGCCATAACAAAAATCTATGCGTGCGCAACGATGTGGCATGAGACTACGCACGAGATGACATGCATGTTGAAGAGCATCTTCCGAATGGATGAAGACCAATGTGCTCGCCGAAATGCTCAGAAATATCTAAAAGTAAGCCCTGTTTCTTCATATTGATTTTATTGATTTTTACATGGTTTGTTCACAGGTCATCGATCCGGACTACTACGAATTTGAAGCTCATGTATTCTTTGACGACGCTTTTGATGTGGATGAATTTGGTGATCCCATTATCAACAAATTTGTCCGTCAATTTATCGAAGTTATCGATCAGGCAGCAAGGTGGGTAACTGAACCTTTTACTCCAGAAAAATCAATAATGCTTCAGCGCTGTGCATCAGACGCAGATGCGGTTAAAACCACCAAAGAAGGTGAGGACTCCTTATGGTGGCCGGTTACAGTATATCCTACCTGGAAAGAATAAGTTGACAGTACATCTAAAAGACAAAAATAAGATCAGACATAGGAAGAGATGGAGTCAGGTGGGTCCCGCGGCGAGGAAGATCTATAATCAATAATTCATGATTTTTCCAGGTGATGTATCTCTACTATCTTCTTGGATATAGACTAATGATGAAAGTGGACGAACAATCACGCAAGGTCAGCTAGGATTACTGTAACATACTGTAGCTTTTACTATATGGATATACTTTTCTTTGCCTCATTGCTAACTCCAGAAATCTAGAAATTTCCAAAAAAATTGTAACTTTTGCAACATGCCATTTTTCGAATATTCCCGCTTTGCCAGTTCTAAGCAGAAGTTTTTTTTTGTTTGAAAGAATTTTTGTGACGTCAGCTACATGAGAAACTCGAAAGTAAACAAAGACCAGTTGCAGGAAGTAATCTCCGAAAACACGTTCATCTTAACACTCGACGGTGATGTTGACTTTACTCCTCAGTGTGTGCACTTACTTGTGGATCTAATGAAGAAGAATCGGCGACTTGGAGCCGCTTGTGGACGAATCCATCCGAGAGGCTCTGGACTTATGGTAAACGTTTAGCATAAAAAGTAGAAATAGGTGTTAGAAAGTTTCTGATCTATAAAGGATTATTTGTCCGGTTCAGAACTAGTCACACCGTGAGAAAGAAATTTGGTGGTTTGTCATGATAGCAGAACTTGATTAGGAAAGCTTTTGAGGAATGCTATAAGTCATAAAACGCCTTTTTTAAATACACATTGATTTTCACAATCTCGATGCCATCCAGTATATCTTGGCGTTTCCGAATTTCCTATTTAGCATCACATTGAAAATATCACATTTCATATGTCTTACTCGTTTTGTATACATATTAGAAGCCAGCGGCAGTGAGCTGAGCTAGTAAGTATTTTTCAATTAAAAATTCTTTTTTGTCTATAAAAGTTCCAGAAAATGAAAATGGACCAAAATCAGCACAGAAAACGTAAGAAAATTGAAAAATAATAAAATTACAGTAGGTCGAAACTGGACGTTTTTGAAAAAACAAGACCTGACGAAATCCAAGGACTCCATGCATAGTCGAAAGTATTCAAACAAAGAGTCATATATTTCTGTTTTAGGTCTGGTACCAAAAATTCGAGTACGCAGTAGGACATTGGCTACAGAAGGCTACCGAACATATGATTGGATGTGTTATGTGCTCACCTGGTTGTTTTTCATTGTTCAGAAGCTACGCGCTCATGGATGACAACGTCACCAGAAAGTAAGTCCACTGATCTTTTGCACACCACCGTATGCTACCGTAATCTAACGTGCAAAGTTGAATGCACCTATGATTATCTGCTATTTCTCGAATTGCAATGACGTAAATAAGGAATAACCTTCTATCTGAAAAGCAGCCGGAGCGCCCACAGACGGAGATGTGGAGGGGGCATGCAGAAGGCGTGCAAAATATAATAAAATCAAAACCACTCATTCTTGTGCTGGGACCCATGCAACATCCAAAACCTATCTGCCATCGAAAACATACAGAAAAGCAGTTTTAGATTATGATTATAGAATTTCTTCCATACTCGCTATAATGGTCACGCGGTTACGGTAGATACAGTAATCTGCGCAAAAAAGCAAAATTTTCAAGAAAAAAAAACATATCACAAATGCTGAAAATTTCTGAATACTTTCAAGATATGCCTCGAAATCAGTTGAACCACTTGACTACATCCAATATGATCAAGGTGAAGATAGGTGGTTGTGCACGCTTCTACTACAAAGAGGATATAGGTAACGTCACTTTACGCTCTTGGGCAAAAATGCAAAAACGAGCAATCCAGAGTCGAGTACTGCGCAGCTTCGGATGCTTTGACATTCGCTCCGGAAGGATTCAATGAGTTTTTCAATCAGAGAAGACGTTGGATCCCGTCTACGATCGCGAACATCATAGATCTGCTGAAAGATTATAAAAATGTTGTACGAGTGAATGAGAGTATATCAATATGGTTAGTTGGAATTTTTTTTCAGTCTGCTGCCCAAGAAAGATGTTTTAGGTACATTATCTACCAAACAGTGATGTTGATCTCGTCAGTTTTGGGTCCGGGAACGATTTTTCTTATGGTTGTCGGTGCAATTTCCATTTCTTTCAATATCGACACCACTTGGAGTTTGCTGATTGTATCTATACCTGTCGTCACGTTTTGTGTAGTGTGTCTAATAGCAAAACCAGAAAGACAGGTAAATACTCTCAATTTTTTATCAACTACAACAAGCTCAAGTTTTCATTTTTTTGAAATATTTCAGCTACTTTTTGCACAAATAGTCAGTGCATTGTTCGCTATGTTGATGACGGCTGTGTTTGTCGGAACATCTCTACAGATACAGAAGGATGGTATTCTATCACCACATTCGATTTTCTTGTTTTCTGTCATGGGAAGGTTCGGATCTCTTAGTTATTTATGTACAGAAGCTCTACGGGCGCTTTGGAGGGGCTTTTTGGACCTTTTTAGCATATTCAGAATGATGAAAATACCTATCAGTTGTTAAAAATTGTTGCTCTTAGAAAATGAATTTACAAAAATAAGGTTGATAATGGGTTGATTTTCCTATAGATCTAGGGATGAAGAGAGCTATGCCCCAAGTTTTTTAACATGTTCTCAGACAATTTACGGGAACT